ATACTTCATAGCTGAACAAAACCGCTAGAACTATGTGAACAGAGGGGATTAAAGAGTATAGGCTGCATCAAATCATTCGGCCCCAAAGGTAGAGAGGAGACATGGCCAGTGTCCAGGCACAGCGGCCGGCACACCTTTCTACCGGTTCCTCCCTGCTTCGTCTCCACAAATGACTCTGTTGTTCAGGATGATGCTTCCTAATGAGTAAGACTTAGGTCTGGACATGAAACAACTTACAGGGACCGTCTTATAGCCACCATTTCCAAAACAGCACATTCCTTTCAGTTTCTGCACCACCTCCACACCTTACTACAGGTTAAGCAGGCCTGGATATGATTCTAGGAGTTACAAAACTGCTAAGCTCAGGGTGTCATGGTAAATTTAGCTGCCAGTGAGTTGTTCCTGTTAGTGCCCTGTCCTGCCTGCCATTTTCTTTTTGTTTTTTAAAGATTTAATTATTTATGCATACAATAACTGGGGTACAGGACAGAGGTGCAGGGCGTGAGAGGATTCACCAGAGACAGAGTGGGGAACAGAACAGGCAGATTGACTGAAATACGGAACAGGAATATTGTCTGAAGTACACTGCTGAGGGGAGCAGCGGGCGAGTCAGGAGAGGTCTGCTGTGCCATGTGGGTCACCTCCCTGGCTGGGCATCCAACTCACGTTGCAGTGACTGCAGATAGCCTCATAGTGCTGCGTCTTAACCCCTTGCACCACCAGGGAGGCCCTTGCCTGCCATTTTCTAACGTTTCCCTGGTCACTGTTCCTTTACAGCATATAGTCAGCATATAGTCAGTCTTGCGGTGATGCGAAGTATTTATGAATGGCATGGATGCTAATAATTTCTTTTGCATAAAAATTTGAAGGACAAAAAAGGATGGAAGAGTAGAAAATAATTTCCAACCTGGAATAAATAAAAGTTCATGTGACCATCTACGGCTGTAACTCAATGTTATATCCCAAATTTTGGGGCTGGCATAGGAACCAGGCGAGGACATACAAATAAGTGCAAGTGAATGCAGAACAGACCCTTGGAGGCAAGAACTTAAGTTGACCACCTAATACAGATGTTGAGGATTAAGGACAGATGGGCAAGATACTGGCTGGACAATGGAAGTTAGTGACTAAGCTATTAAAATAGATAATTGTGGGGCTTTTTTAAAGATTATTTATTTATGCTTGCATACAAGAACTGGGGTGTAGGCCAGAGGTACAGGGTAGGGGATGAGAGGATTCACCAGAGATAGAGCAGGGAGCAGAATAGGCAAATCCACTGAAATACACTGCTGAGGGGAGCAGTGGGCGAGATAGGAGAGGTCTGCTGCGCCATGTGGGTTAGCTCCCTCATGGGAACAGAACTCGTGCCTAACAACGCCTGGTGGCAGCTTGATAGCACTGAGACTTTAACCCCTGCAACATCAGGAAAGCCCTATAATTGTTTTCTAAATCCGGTTTCTAATCACTGCTTCTGTGCATTTACATAGTTTAAATCCAGTAACTTGGTAAGGGTAGGTATTCATTTATTAATTTCAAATGAGGAAACTGTGAGACAGAGACAGGAACTTAGCCAAAATTACTTCCTCTGTGATGTTATGCTAGAAAAATGTTACTTCCAGAGAAGAGACTGCTACACACAGCCTCCAAAAAGGAGGCAGGTACCTGAGTGCGAGCAGGAGCTGGGTGGGAACCATGGCCAGGCCAACCACCCCTGAGGCTGTGAGGCACAAGATCCAGGTTGTGTAGCAGAAGGCCAGTGGTGCAGGAGAGGGCCCAGCGCCTCCAAGGGGAAGTAGAGGCAGGAAGACAGGCCCAGGACTAGGCTGAGGCTGAGGCAGCCTCTGTCAACTATAGGATCCAGCTAGCTGAAGAGGAGCTGAACCCAGCTCAGGATGACCTGTACTGACTTGCAGAAGCCAAAGAAGCTGAGAAAGCTGCTGATGAGAATGAGAGGTGTGATGGCTATTGAAAACCAAGCCTTAAAAGATGAAGATGGGGGCCTCGTCTGGTGGCGCAGCGGTTGAGCGCTGGGCTGTGAAGCTGCCCGCAGCCTCAGCAGTGCTGGTTCCTTCCCCGGCCGCCAGCGAGGGTCCCACATGGCGCGACAGACCTCTCCTGCTGCCACACGCTGCTCCCCTCAGCAGTGTATTTCGTCAGTCTGCCTGTTCTGTTACCCGCTCTGGCTCTGGTGAATCCTTTCACCCTCCCGCGCTTCTGACTGTACCCCGTGCCTGCACAAATAAAGAAACAAACAAACAAACAAATAAATAAATCTTTTTAAAAAAATTGTAAAAAAAAAGATGAAGATGGAACTCCAGGAAATGCAATTCAAAGAAGCTACGCACAGAGCAGAAGAGGTAGGAAGTAGGAGGAGGTGGCTGGTAGTTGGTGATTACTGTGAGGACTTGGTAGGCACAGAGGAATGAACGGAGTTGGCAGCACGAGATGGATGCGCAGATCAGACTGATGGAGCAGAACCTGAAGTGTCTGAGAGCTGCTGGAGAAAAGCACTCTCAAAAAGAAGACAAAAATGAGGACAAAATAAAGACTCTTAGTGATAAACTCAAGGAGGCAGAGATCCCTGCTGAGTTTGCTGAGAGATCAGTAGCCAAGCAGCAGGATATTTGACGATCTGGAAGAAAAATAGAAATGCACCAAGAAAGCACCTCTGGACACTTAAGCTTAAATGGGATACAGAGAACCCCAGCACTGCCCTGCTACCCTTCCTCCCTCTGACTCAGACTCCGCCTGAGGCCAGCCTACCTGATCTTTAAACTGAAGGCTGACTGAACTGGAAGCCTGCTTTCTCCTTTAGCACCCCTCCCACCCCTGCTTTTCTGTCCGCCTCTCCCCAGAAACTCCAGTTGGGCTAAAAGTTAAGCACTCTCAGGAACAACATTTAAGGGAAAGTTAGCTCAATAAAAAAGTGTCTTTAAAAGCATGTTGTGATGTATACATTTTGTACTTAACCTTTTTTTTTTTAAAAGATTTATTTATTTATGCATACCAGAACTGGGGTACAGGCCGGAGGTATGGGGGTTGAAAGGATTCACCAGAAACAGTGTTGGGAACAGAACAGGCAGACTGACTGAAATACACTGCTGAGGGGAGCAGCAGGTCAGACAGGAGAGGTCTGCTGTGCCATGTGGGTTACTCCCTGGCCGGCAGGGGATGGAACTCGTGCTGCAGAGGCTGTGGCTAGCTTTACAGTGCTGTGCTTAACCTCTTGTGCCACCAGGGAAGTCCCTTGTACTTAACATTTTTGCTGTTGATGTAGCAAACATTTGTAAAGCATTCCAAATAATTCATAGTTCTGAAGCAGTAGTCTAATCCCTTTCCTGCTTTTGGAAGATAACTTTTCAGCTTAATGCATATTGCCTGCTCCATTTTTATTTCAAAAAGACAAGTCAGAGCCTCCCTGGTTAAAGACAGCGCTATCAAGCTACCGTCAGCCACTACAAGTTCGATCCCCACAGGCCAGGGAGCAACCCACATGGCACAGCAGACCCTCCTGTCTCGCCCGCTGCTCCCCTCAGCAGTGTATTTCACTGGATCTGCCTGTTCTGCTCCCCGCTCTCTCTGGTGAATCCTCTCCCCCTTTCCCCCCACCCAGTTCTTGTAATGCATTAAAAAAAAAAGTCACTTTTTGGTAACATCCCTCCAAAAGAAAAAAAATGCACTTACAGAGTGAAATCCTTACATATACACTACCCAGTCACTCAATGGAAACAGTTTTATAAAAGGGTGGAATCTAATAAAACTACAGGAAAATACATGGGGGGGGGGAAGCAAGTTGCAATAGAACCACAAGAACAATTACTTCATTTTTATAAAGTTCAGACAATACAAAACCAAACAATATATTGTTCAGCAATGCATTCAGAGTAAAGCTGTAAATTCAGGGAATGACATAACCACAATTCAGCAGGGCAGCTTCCTCCAAGTGAGGAAAATGGGAGACTAAATCAAAGGCAGGTTCGCTTCAGTTGTGGGTCATGTTCTAAGTTGGGTACACATCAGACAAAGCAATGTAAATTCCAACTCTGATACTTCCTGTTTCTGTGAACTTGAGCAATTATTTAACAACCCATCCTGGAACCTTCCTTTGTATAAAGTGGGGTAGATAAATATCTATTTCACAAGGTTAATTTTTTAGGATTCAATAAAGATCTGTAAAGTCCAGGATAGACATAAGCACTAACTACATGGTACCTGCTATGATACAGATGATGTCCGACAATTATGTGCTTGGGGCCTTCTACCCCAAAGAAATATGACATTCAGTGTGAAGTTTCAGAAATCCATTGAGTAAAACCCCTCCTGTTCCTACCCCAACCCAGTCTCCGCTGCAAAAGTAACCTGGTGGCAGGGGCCTCCCTGGTGGCACAAGGGTTAAGTCAGCGCTATCAAGCTTCTGCCAGCCACTATAGCATGAGTTTGATCCCCAGCTGGCCAGGGAGCAACCCACATGGCACAGCAGACCTCTCCTGTCTCGCCCGCTGCTCCCCTCAGCAGTGTATTTCAGTGGATCTGCTTGTTCTGCTCCCCACTGTCTCTGATGAATCCCCTCATCCCCCTGCACCTCTGGCCTACACCCCAGTTCCGCCCCCCCACCAAAAAAAAGTAACCTGGTAACAGACAAGTTTGGTTCTTGTCCTAATAGGGAGTCAATTGAAGGATTTTAATTATCTTTTTTTTTTTAATTTTTTTTTAATAGAGGCATGTTTTATTTATTTAGTTTGTTTTGTTTATACATGCACTGGGTACAGTCAGAAGCGCGGGAGGGTGAGAGAATTCACCAGAGCCAGAGCGGGGAGCAGAACAGGCAGAAGGACCGAAGTACACTGCTGAGGGGAGCAGCGGGCAGCAGGAGAGGTCTACGCGCCATGTGGGATCCTCCTCCGGTGGCCGGGGAGCAGCCGGGGATTGAACCGGCTCCTCAGAGGCCGCGGGCAGCTTCGCAACCCAGCGCTCAACCGCTGCGCCACCGGGGAGGCCCGGATTTTAATTATCTTAATGAGACCTATTATCTATTTTAATCCACCACATTTAGAGAACAAATTCATTTCAATGGGACTTATCCTAAAGTTTTGGGCCAATGACTAAAGTGCAGAGAGGGCCCCGACCAGAGAACAGGGAAGGAAGCAGGCAGTGCTAGCCTCTGGGAGTACCAAAACAGGACACTTTGAAGGAGAAACAAATCTAACAAAGGTCATTAAACAGAGGTCGAAAAAATTTTTTGCTAAGTGGCAGGACCAACCTGGAAGTTTAGAACAGATGCAGAATACAGCACTCATGCCACTTTTTGCCTATGAAAGCACCAATTTTAAAGAAATGAGTTCACAATAAGGTATCTCACTCCTGTGAGAATGGCACATATTAAAAAGACCCCCAACAAGTACTGGAGAGGATGCAGAGAAACAAGACCATATGACACAGTAGGTGAGAATGGACACCGGAGGTGAGAATGAAAATTGGTGCAACCATTTTCCAAGGCGATCTGGAATTATCATGAAAAACTACAAATGGAAATGCTCTATGACCCAGCAACCTCTCTTGGGCATCTATCCAAAGAACATGAAACCATCAACTCAAAAAAAAAAAAAATTTATGCTCTACTTTGTTTATTGCAGCTTTGTTTACATGGCAACAAGAATCTAAGTGCCCACTGATAAGAGGATCTTTTCAAAAAGAATGATGTATTTCATGCCATGAACTACTTAACTCATGCTTAAGGAAAGAGGACATGTTGTCATTTATGCAAAATGTTACGTTCTTAGGGCAGACTATTAAAAACTAGCATATACTAACAAACGAAGTGAGGTTTCTGAGAAACAAATCTTAACAAAGGTCATTAAACAATCAGGTTGGAAAATATTTTTGCTAAGTGGTAGGGACTTAGCCTAACACCATTGCAGTTTTATGTTTAAGTTACAGGAATATTGTGCACATATCCAATAACACACAAAAATGACAATGCATTGAAACATGAACTCTGCTTGATAAAAAACATCAAGTTACCTAGTATACCTGTTTGGTACACAAGGCCTCCCTGGTGGCACAGGACTTCACGTCAGCCCTATCAAGCTATCATCAGCCTCTCCTCCATGACTTCCACCCTGGCCAGGGACTGACCTACATGGCACAGCAGACCTCTCCTGTCTTACCCACTGCTCCCGTCAGCAGCATATTTCAGTAGATTCGACTGGGAAGTACGACCACCTGGAGTGGTATCAATATAAAATCTTACAAAACACATAGTATATCATGCTGTGAACGTCCAAAGCCCTCAACTCTGATCTTCTACCTTGAAGTGTTTGCTTCTTCAAATGGATGCATATAAAGGGGAACCAGCAATGACCGGATGACATGATCCTAAATGCTCCCATCAGACACTGGGTAATTTACAGTACAGCCTTACAGCATCATAAAGGTACACTGTTAGGAAGTATCTTTGGAGAAAAATGACACAAAGGAACATACATGTTTTTCTCAAAATTTTATTGTGAAATCCACAAAATTTACTGCCTTAATTTTTTTTAAAGATTCAACAGTGTTATAATATTACACAACAATCAACTTTTTCGTCTTGTAAAATTGTTAACTAGACTCATTAAGCATAAAACTCATTCCCCTCTCTATCACCTTCCAAACCACCACAGCAGTGACTCTGGTCACCGGTAAACCACAAAGGCCAGCCTATCCACTGCCCCACCTGCTGGGAATCAGAAGTATAGATGGGGCTGCCTTCTCCATGCACAGGAGAAGCTCTGGTCAAGACTGAGAAGACTCTCCAGACACTGGGTGAGTGAAAGATGATGAGAAGAGCAAATACAAGTGACTTCTCTGGACATGAAAGGCTGAATTGTCAGAGTTTGGGTTTGAGAACAAAGGAAATATAAACCTTACTGGCTATGAACGCAAGAAATATACTTGGCCCAAGTGAAATTTGCTCATCCAATTTATTGTTGCTAATAATTGTGAGCGCCAATTATCTGCAACCTGGTAGTACAGGATTTTCAGGGTTATGTGCTGTGTATACCCTTAGCCCTGGTTTGAATTCCTTTGGCCTCTGGGTCTGTATTTTTTTGCAATAACCAATGGATTGATAAACTATAAAGAAATAGCTCTGGTATGTACAAGCTGGGGATAAACTAAAAACTATCAGAAATATAAGGCAATTGTTTTGACCCTTGGTTTAACCAACTTAGCCTGTGAAACAGCAACATTTTCATGGAGCTTCCTATCTCATTACAACTCCCGTAGCTACTTCCCCACTGAACCTGAAGATAGTTTCTACCTATGGGTATAGAGTGAAATTGTATCATGCTGAAGGAGAAACAGGTTTGGGGACAGGTTAAAAACCATGTAAAACAGTTTTATGCGCAGTTGTTGAATGTCTTAACAGACAAGGCCCTACCATTAGGGCCATAAGACTAATTAGGAGGACCCTACTGTGAGTGAGGAGACCTAAGGTTAAACCACAGCCAAGGATTTGACATCCCTTGAATTACATTTCAAGTTTTAATGTCTCTCCAGCCCTTTGAAGACAGAGGATTGAGTAATTCAGGAGACAAAGGAAAATGATCAAAAGTAAACACATTCTATTGTTAAATGGTCACAGGTCAGAATAAGGGTTGGATCTATCCAAATCAGTGATGACTATTTCAGTAACATCTAGCACATTGCATATTATATAAATTTGGAAATCTCTAACATTCATATCAATGTGCAACAATCTAATTTTACATTTTTGTCCACAGCCATAAAGTACACCTATGTCAAATGCGATGCTTATTCATCGTTGGTTAACCCTTCACCTCCCCCTACCCCTTTTTGTACCCTTTCAGCCAGACCAAATTTTCACCTTAAAATATTTTATTGAAATCCTTTAGATACAACAAAGTACTTAAGATAAGTGAAAACTGTCTACTTGATCTTTAAGTGCCCAAATCTGACAGCTGCTCACAAAATGCAGGAAAGATGCAAGTTCCAAGGGTCTGCCCCACATCAAATAGAGGATATTCTTTGTGTCAGCAAAATCCTGCAATTTCATAAAAGGAATATGTATTAGAAGCATGCAGGCCAACCAGCATTAGAACATGAAGCTGGATGGGCCCTCCTGGTGGCCTAGGCCTTAAATCTCATTGTGCAAATCACTTCTACAGCATGTGTTAGATCTTCAACCAGGGAGCTAACCCACACTGGCGCAGCAGACATCTCCTGAGTCACAGGCCCTCAGCAGTGTAATTCAGTAAATCCTCCTGTTATGCTTCCCACTATTATGCTTCCCACTGTCTCCGGTGGGTCCTCTCACCAACCCCCCACACCTCTGGCCTGCACCCCAGTTCACCTAGGCAAAAACAAAAACATGAAGCTGGGTGGGCAAGGGAATTGCCACAAAGGATGAGAGGAAGGCCTTGCCTAATTGTGTATCTGACATTCCTCAGAAACACTCAAATTCCAGTCCAAAACAGATCATCACTACTCAAATTGGAAGAAAAACCAGCACTCACCACAGGAGTTACAATAGGGGCATGGCTGTTCACTTCGTCACAGTACCTAGACAGGAACCTTAGGCAAGACAGACACATCAGCAGCACTTCTCCGAAACGGTCTATTCCAAACCTGAGGCTTTAGTCATCAGCTTAGCGCCAGATCTCTGTGAATGGACTCTGTCCATGGCGCTCATGCTACAAAGAGAAAACAGGATAATCAATGAGATGGGCAGACTCACAAGGCTCCTGTTGGCCCTTAGAGGCTCAAATATCCAGTTCTCCAAACAAGTCAGAACTTAAGTTTTGACATCAAGACCAGTGTCAGAGACTCTAGTCTGAGAAATCATCATTCCCATTTAGAGATCTGGATCAAAAGAAGCCATTCTGGGAAGGGCTCTGGTATATTCAAAGATAATAGTCTCAAGTATACGGATCTAGCAAATTAGGTATTCAGATATAGTAAACTTGGGAGACTAAATAAATAGTAAATAAATTTAGACTGCAAAAAGCAATTCCAACCCAAATGCCCAGTATGCAGGGACGCTTCCGGTAGGAGAGGGAGAGGAAGTGGTGGATGTAGGTTTAAGATGCTCAAGACAAAGGAGCGGTAAACGTTTAGAAAGCAATAATCACAAGAAATTTAAACCAAAGTAGACTTTGGAAAATCATCAGGTGAACTAGTTGCACCGCTGCACATTTATTAGAAAGCAAGCACACTCCACGGTGGCCCTTGATTTCCATACGCTACACAGTCACGCTCTCGTTAATGCTCACCTTTATTCAAGTATCCCACACTGGTGGTCTTCTTAAACACCTTAGGGAAATAACAAGGGTAAGTGATTAAGAAGGGGTCCGGGCCATCAACTTCTCCCCGCGCCCAGGCACCAGGCATCCCAGCTCGGGGGAGGGAGGTGGTCAGCGCGCTGCGGTGATGGCGTCAGCGAGACACTCAGAGTCACCAGGGGTCATCATCACCTTCACGCTCCCCCAGGGCGACCGCCGGCCACTCGTCTGCACAGTCCACTCACCCTCGTGGTGCGACGGATCCGCGCGCGTGGGTCAGGCACCTGGGGCGGGGGTAGAGGGGGACAATTAATTAGCAGGAGCCGGGGGTACTCCAGCCGCGTCTCCCCTGCCCTGGGCTGGGTCAGTTCCAAGTAGCGGCGTCACGGAGACATCAGAAACTCTAGTCTGTAATGGTAGTTCATCCTCCTCAGCCCGAACCGAGGTCCCCCCACCCGGCAGGGCCCCAAAGTACCTGCACAGCGGCAAATGAGCGAAGACGGCGCAGGGAGCTGGGGAGGCCGCCATCTTCCCCTCGCGTTTAGGGGAAGGGGCCCCAGCGGCCGGCAGGCACATGGCAGAGCCGCGGGACACACACCCACCGGCTCACCGCACAAAGAGAACCGCGACGGCGGGCCCGGCTATTTATAGCGACCCGGAGCCGGGGTCCTGACGGGCAGGGCTGTCTCCGGAGATGCCTGGCCCGCGGCAGTGCCCCGTCGTTTGTCCAAACGAAAATAAAGTGAAAGAGGCTGTGAGTGAAAGTGTCACCGTCTTCTGGGTAATTATTCGGAGATGTTTTGTGAACTTTTAAAAACAAAAAATAATTGACCTCACTGGGCAGGCTGGAGAAAGCCCGCGCGCGCGCCGCCGAGCGTTCGTCCTTAGCCGCCTCCTTCAGGCCCCAGAGCCGCCTGTGACCCGACGCTCCGGCGCGACCCTCGCCCCGCGCGCCTGGGCACTGCGGCGCGGCCGCTGTCAGGACAGTGAAGTCGGAACGCACAGCCCGCACCAGCCCGCGGACCTGTCAGGCACAGTCCGGATCAGGGGTTTTTCCCTCCAACAACTTTATTGAGGTATAGTTGACCAAAAAAATCTGTGCGTATTAATAATATGTAACAAGGTGGTTTTTAAAACCATCTTAACTTTTTAAGATGCACAGTTAAGTAGTGTTACTTATTTTCACATTGCTGTGCAGAACTTGTTAAAGCAAGAACAACCCAGTGCTAATAGGATCAGCATGGGAAAAAAACCCTGCCCCCCAAATCATCACTTGTTACTCTTAACTTTGCCACTACCATGCCCCAAACTCAGAATTTCACTTCTCCAGGCTTATCACTTGGATAACTGCAACTAGAGTGTGCATGGCTTAATATGGTGCATATCTTCCTCACATTTCTGCTCCAAATAATCTTAAAAGCTTTGAAAGTGAGGCCATGCAGACAAAATGCTTTAATTTAAAAAGAGGCAATGAATATAAGAGAAACTAAATATTTTCCCTTGGTCACCCAACTGGGATTTATAGAAACAGAGTGTGAACCTGTATCTTATTTTTGCTGTTTGTATACCCATGCTTATTTACAACCTAAATAAAAGACTAGAAGGACTCAAGTCAGAAGTGAAAAATAAAGCTCAAGGGCTCTGTGTGCGTGAAGTGCAGGAGAGTGAGGAAACATGAAATTCCTCCCAACACTTCTGCAGCTCCCATTCCTGCTTTCCCCTAAAACAAGTCCCACCCAAATTAAAATGAGCACCAGGAATTTTTATTTGCTAGCACAGATTTCACTTTGCACCTACAAATATGTCCCAACAAAAGTAGCCATGGTCTTGGCTCCTAACATGTGCACCTGCATTCAGAAGTCTGTCCCTTTCAATGTCTATGCAACTCAGGCATTCCAAGAAGAGTTCATTAGTAGACACATATTTTTAACATTTTATTTTTCGTTTTCATTATTATACAAATAATTTTTTTAAAAAATCCAGGATTGTTGGTGTGTTGCCAAAGAAAAAAATGGGACACAGGGTGGCAGTATTGAGTCATTTGGGAGGTAGAGAGAGGAAAGACCAGAGCAGTACCAACCCAATTAAATGCAGAAATTCAAATGAACACACTGATTATATAACACTGAAATAATAAAGACAACCAAGTTAATGGTAAGGTTACACCCAAACTTTAGATTAACTAAAAGATAAACAGTAGGAAAATATACGAATATACCAAGTCCTTGGGCTCCTCTGTGGCAATGGAAGAGACGGCCTCTAATCCACCTCTTCAATGGTGGGGCCAGAGGAAGAAGACCCGTTGGGAGCCTGAGCCCCAAAACCACCCGCCCTGGGGCCTCCCGCCCCCTGGTACAGGCCACTGATGATGGGGTTGCACACCTGCTCCAGCTCCTTCCTCTTGTGCTCAAACTCATCCTTGTCGGCCAGGGTGTTGGCGTCCAGCCAGGAAATCACCTCCTGGCACTTGTCCAGCACCTTCTTCTTGTCACCCTCGCTGATCTTGCCCTTGAGCCCTTCGTCCTCCACGGCGCTCTTCATGTTGAAGGCGTAGGACTCGAGCGCGTTCTTGGCAGCCACCCTGTCGCGCTGCACCTCGTCCTCCGCCTTGTACCTCTCGGCCTCCTGCACCATGCGCTCGATGTCCTCCTTGCTCAGGCGGCCCTTGTCGTTGGTGATGGTGATCTTGTTGGCCTTGCCGGTGCTCTTGTCCGTGGCCGTGACGTGCAGGATGCCATTGGCGTCGATGTCAAAGGTCACCTCGATCTGGGGCACGCCCCTGGGGGCCGGCGGGATGCCGCTCAGCTCGAAGCGCCCCAGCAGGTTGTTGTCCCGGGTCATGGCCCTCTCGCCCTCGTACACCTGGATCAGCACCCCCGGCTGGTTGTCCGAGTAGGTGGTGAAGACCTGCGTCTGCTTGGTGGGGATGGTGGAGTTGCGCTTGATCAGCGCCGTCATCACGCCCCCCGCCGTCTCCAGCCCCAGCGACAGCGGAGCCACGTCCAGCAGCAGCAGGTCCTGCACCTTCTCCGACTTGTCCCCCATCAGGATGGCCGCCTGCACCGCCGCCCCGTAGGCCACCGCCTCGTCGGGGTTGATGCTCTTGTTGAGCTCGCGCCCGTTGAAGAAGTCCTGCAGCAGCTTCTGCACCTTGGGGATGCGCGTGGAGCCACCCACCAGCACCAGCTCGTGGATCTGGGACTTGTCCAGCTTGGCGTCTCGCAGGGCCTTCTCCACGGGCTCCAGCGTGCCGCGGAACAGGTCCGAGCACAGCTCCTCGAAGCGCGCCCTGGTGATGGACGTGTAGAAGTCGGTGCCCTCGAACAGCGAGTCGATCTCCAGGCTGGCCTGCGTGCTGGACGACAGCGTGCGCTTGGCCCGCTCGCAGGCGGTGCGCAGGCGCCGCACGGCGCGCTTGTTCTGGCTGATGTCCTTCTTGTGCTTCCTCTTGAACTCCTCCACGAAGTGGTTCACCAGCCTGTTGTCGAAGTCCTCCCCGCCCAGGTGCGTGTCGCCGGCAGTGGCCTTCACCTCGAAGATGCCGTCGTCGATCGTCAGGATGGACACGTCGAAGGTGCCGCCGCCCAGGTCGAAGATGAGCACGTTGCGCTCGCCCCTGCCGCCGCGGTCCAGCCCGTAGGCGATGGCGGCCGCCGTGGGCTCGTTGATGATGCGCAGCACGTTCAGCCCCGCGATCACCCCCGCGTCCTTCGTGGCCTGGCGCTGCGAGTCGTTGAAGTAGGCGGGCACGGTGATCACCGCGTTGGTCACCGGGCCGCCCAGGTACGCCTCGGCGATCTCCTTCATCTTGGTCAGCACCATGGACGAGATCTCCTCGGGGAAGAAGGCCTTGGTCTCGCCCTTGTAGCTCACCTGCACCTTGGGCTTGCCGCCGTCGCTGATCACCTGGAAAGGCCAGTGCTTCATGTCCGCCTGCACCACCGCGTCGCCGAACTTGCGGCCGATCAGCCGCTTGGCGTCGAACACCGTGTTCTGCGGGTTCAGCGCCACCTGGCTCTTGGCCGCGTCGCCGATCAGCCGCTCCGTGTCGGTGAACGCCACGTAGCTGGGGGTGGTGCGGTTGCCCTGGTCGTTGGCGATGATCTCCACCTTGCCGTGCTGGAACACCCCCACGCACGAGTAGGTGGTGCCCAGGTCGATGCCGATGGCCGTGCCCTTAGCCATGCCGGTGCGTGCCAGGCGGCGCTGCGCTGCGCTCGGTCTCAAGCGGGTCGGCGGGCGGGTCGGGGCGGGTCGGGGCGCGGGGCCTTGCGAAGTCGGGACGCGAAGGGCGACGCCGCGGGAGCTCGCGCTGGAGGCAGTGGGTCGGCGCGGTGGGGTCCCCTCGGCCGGTCCTGGGGTGGCTGTTTGTCCCGAGTGGCGGCGGCCGCGTTTATAAACCCTCCCCGCGCCCCTCCTCTGCCCTCCGCGGCCAATCGCGGAGCCCCGCGGGGCCGCGGGTCGGGAAGATTCCAGGAGCTTCTCCGCGCGTCCTGCCCCCAGGCTGTCCCGGGCCAATCCCAGCTGGGGTTGCGCCCCGGCCAGAACTCTCCAGACGCTTCTGGGGCGCTCGGGAGGCGGCGGGCGCGGAGGGAAGGGAGGGGCGCGGGGCCGCTGGTGTTGGCTCCGCCCCCCAGTCGGGTCTCGGGGGGCGCGGGCGCCCGCGCACTGCTGTGAAGACGGCAGGAGATCTCTAGCAGGTTTACGTAGTAGGGCGGCGTGAGGCTCGTGGGGCTTAAACTAATTTGGTGTTTTAAGGTAGGATTAAGGACAGGCTTCGACTCCCGGGCACCCAAAATGCGAAAAGTTCTGAGTTTCTGGAAGAAGGCGGGTCTCGCAGGCCAGAGCCCCTGGCTGGACCGCGGCTCCGGGGCTGGGAAGCCTCAGGTCTGGCCGCCGAGGGTGGGGGGCCGGGCCCCCGGAGGGTTTCCTCTGGCATCCGCGGCATTTTTCCCATTTGGATTTTAATGACAGGAGAACGAAAGCGCTACCGCATGGTAGTTTGTGGCGTTATTTTTAATCACATGGAAAGGAGTTTTGAATATTTTAAAGAAAAGTGATCAGGTAAACAGGCGGTTCTTCAGCTTGGGGGGAGAGGGGACCCCCTGGGTCCCGAAGGAACGCGCTAAGTCGGGGGCGGTGGGTGTGGGATGCTAAGAAGGGCGAGCTGAAGGGCGAACGGCTGCGTCCGGGGCGCCCCTAGACTCTACTGCCACCCTGCCTTAGGGTGGGGTCCGCGTGCAAAAGAAAAAAAATGTTTCAGAGAACTTCAGCTTTCTTTAAGGACTTTTACCCTTCTCTTATCCTTCCTAGTCTGGGCTACTAGTCTGCTCCTCTCTCCTTTGCACCCCTTCACCTCATTTCCTCCTTGTGCTTTGGACAGTGGATAGGGCTGAGGTTAACCTTATACTGCAGAGTTGGTCTTCTGCGCTTTCTGTGCAGAGCTTAGGGGGTCGACTACTTGAAATGAGATGGTGTTGTGAGCCTGCAGGGAGGGAAGGGGATGTGCGATCCTCTAACAGAATCTAATGCCACTGCAGGTAGCCAGTTTTAAGCAAACTGGGGGGCTGTGAGGTGGAAGGGGTTGTTCAGAACTGAAATCTAATTCTAGCTCCTCTAAAACTGAAGGTTATTTGCCCTGAACTTAATTCATGCTAGATTCCAACTCCCTACTCATTACTTACTCTCCCTCCTGTTTTAAATACAACCACATTTGGTAATTTACTTTGGCCTTATTGTTTCCCTCCTCCTTCGTGGGCATCTAAGACCCCTTGTTAGGTGCCTTAATAGAAATATGAGGGGCATTAAATATGAGGGGCATTAAAACAATTAAAACAATATGAGGGGCATTAAAACAAAATATGAGGGGCATCACAATCCACACAAAAAGCATACTCATTGCCATATCCACAGAAAACGTAAGCGTGTAAGTGGTAGGAGGCAGTTTTTGATGAAAGGAAGAAATCTTGATTTTACACAGTGTTCAACTGGCATTGTTCACACACACACACGCACACACATATCCCTGTCCACCATCATGATGCCTCTTCTTAGAATCCACAAGCATTCCATTGTATAGTCTGTTTTGTTAGGATTGATTTGATGATGTTGCAAAGAAATAGCTTCAACAATCTTGGGTGTGTTTGTGAGTGTAGGTAGGTGGTAACTTTAATATTCAGATGTAACTCCCCAGTGATTCATCTCCCAGGTCTAGTCAAACTGGTCAAACTTCAAGAATTTTCCATTTTTCGATGCCATCTTGCTGGGGATTCACCAAACTTCTACCTTAGCTGCACAGTATATCAAGAATTCTAAGAGAAAACAAAAAAAAAAAAAGAATTCTAAGAGACCTTAGCCTCATCCCCTCCCTCCAGATGTTTCCTCCCTTCCTTAGCTGTCACCAGTGGCAGTTTTGGATTGACTTCAGAGCTTAGTATTTAAAATAATTCTCTATTGACTGGAAATAAAGGGCATCACTGCCTCTGCTCCCTGGCAGGTGAACATGGTGACAGGGACTCAAATCTTGCTGTTGTGCAGAAAAAGATCCACTGGAAATGCTGTTTTCGACAAGTGGGACAGCTATACACTGCAGTTAACCTTTCTTTTGAGTTAAGTCTCTCTCTGTGATCTGGCCTGAAACCTAAGCTTTCCCATTTCCTGGCAAAGAGAGCATCTCTTGAATTTTATCTTTCCTTTCATACTGACTGCCTCCCAAGGCAGAAACCAAGTCAAGGGTGTAATTGGTATCTAAGAACTCCGAGAGATTTTTCAAGAGTTTGATTTGACTAATTTCAAAATTAGGTTTTCATGGAGTTTGGTGTCTGGAGGAGCCAAGTCTCAGGTTCCCCATGCTGGATGGGCTGTCAGGTACCTTTTTTTAAATGTATGCATAGAAGAACTGGGGTATAGGCCAGAGGTGGGCAGGGGTGGGGGGTGGGGGGAGAGGATTCAACAGAGACAGAATGGGGAACAGAACATGTGAATTTACTGAAATACACTGCTAAGGGGAGCAGTGGGTGAGATAAGAGAGGTCTGCTGTACTATATGTGGGTTAGCTCACTGGCCACCACAGTAATAGTGCTGAGACTTAACCCCTAGGCCACCAGGGAGGCCCCTGTCAGGTACTTTTAAGGTTGGGAACTGGAGAGAAGTGCCAAGAATGTTCACTGCCCAGGCAGCAGTGTGGGGAAGGCGTGCCCTCCTCAGCCCCATGCTGCAGGAGCTTTTTTTCTTTTCACTCCTTTTTCCTACAGTTTTTCCAAACAGTACCATATTCCCCTTAATTCTGTTCATTTTAGGGGCCTCCCTGGTGGCTCAGGGGTTAAAGTCTCAGTGCTATCAAGCTGTAGTCAGCCAGCCACTGCAAGAGTTCCATCCTAGCCAGGGAGCTGGCCCACATGGCACAGCAGACCTTTCCTGTCTCACCAGCTGCTCCCCTTAGCAGTGTGTTTTGGTGGATCTGCCAGCTCTGCTCCCCACTCTGTCTCTGGTGAATCCTCTCACACAACCCTGCTTCCTCCCACCCTTCCACTCGCTACCCCCCCACCTCTGGCCTACACCTCATTTTTTTTTTTAAAGATTTATTTATTTATGCATACAAGAGCTGGGGTACAGGCCAAATGTGCGGGGTGGGGGGGTGTTGAGAGGACTCACCAGAGATAGAGTGGGGAACAGAACAGGCAGATTGACCAAAGTACACTGTTGAGGGAAGCAGCAGGCGAGTCAGGAGAGGTCTGCTGTACCATGTGGGTAGCTCCCTGGCTGGTTGGGTATCGAACTCATGCTGCAGAGGCTGCGGACAGCTTCATAGGTTGTGTCTTAACCCTGCACCACCAGGGAAGCCCTGCACCTCAGTTTTTGTATGCATAAATCTTTTTTAAAATTCTGTTCATTTTAAAAGATAATATAATTTTAAATTTATCCAGCAAAAAGCAAAGGAGAAAACTAATATGAAACCTAAACCCAGGCATTTTTAACAACCAAATGGTAAATGCGTCAGTGACCTGTGAACCCCGAGGATTTCAAGCAGCATGGGAAACAACCTAGGAAAGGGTGATGTAGGATTACATCTGAACTCTACTTCCTTGCTGAGGCTGTTTTTCTTGCCTCTCTCTCTCTCTCTCTCTCTCTCTCTCTCTCTCTCTCTCATTTTAACAATGAAGTACTTGTAAGTTACCCAAGTTACACAAATCTCTATGGCTCATCTCTGAAGCAATATCTGTTCCATAGGATGGTAGTATCAAGGATTAATTTTTGCAAGGTTTAATATTTAATATTTGCAAGGTTTTAGTTCAGTGCCTGTGGTGGTCATGCTCAAAAGTTTGCTTCCTTCTGATCCTCTTTTGTTGGGGGTCCCTATTCTCAGATCTGACTTCAGTCACTCTTATTCAGGCACTTACAAGCTCCGTGACTACCACCAGGGTTAGGGCGTTATTTTCAGTGTATCCTAGGCACTATCTTAAAATTTTTAGGCAGAGCCATTCAGCTAAATTTTCATTTTCAAAGATGTGCACAAGGGTCAGAGGTTCAGTGACTTGGTCTGGTCACCCAGACAGGTGATTATAGAACCTGGGGTTGAACCTACTTGTTCAGATTCCTTATTTTGGACTGACTCCTCTCTGTAATGGCCCTTCCGTACAATCGTTTTATTCTGTACAAAGAGGAAAACAAATGCGCACAGAAGAAGGGAGCTAACAATGAATGGCGGGGCTGTGGACCCATTAGGGTGTGTGACCAACCTGGGACTCTCCTAGGACTCCCCTCCTGGGTCTTAATGGCTGACTCTGGGTTATTCCCCCACAAAGTCCCACTTTTCCTACACTCCCAGCTTCTCCTGGCCGCGCCTCTGCTTACAACAGACCGCTTGTCTGAAAGAGGGGAAAGGAGAAGGGACTGTTACTATTATTAGTCTGACTCGTCATTCAGAACCTTCTGGACATTAGATCTGGAGCGTGACTAAGCTTGATGACCGAGGGTGGGGTGCTGGGGTAGGGACACTGAGTGAGGTCATTATTTGTTGGTGAGTGTTCCTCCTTTGAGCCCAGAAAGCTCGAGAAAGTTCCTGACAAAGCCCGAAATAGGGGCCGGGAGCCAGAGCCACCCCTTCTCCCGCGGGCTGGGCGGGGCGGGCGCGCTGTCACGAAGGCGCGGACCTTTTACTTTACTTCAAAACAGATTAAAGGAGGGCGGGGGGCCGAAAACAAACATAGAAGAGAACTGTAGAGTTTTGTCTGCTGTCGTTTATT